ACTGTACTCATAAAAGAGATAACTCATCACAATATTATGAAATAAGCGATTCAATGTGAGAACTTGAAGATAGATTTAGTACAAATTTTCATTCATACATAACTAAAATTGTAAGTTTTTATATAAAAAGGCAGTGATAGTGTTTTTTTTTAATATTTAACTTTGTAAAAACCATGATGCTTTTTTATGTGGTGGATGAGATGGAACAGGATAGCACAATAGCCCATGAATGCCCATATTTGGAAAGCATTATTGTTATTACATATGCCTATCAGCTGATATACACTGCAACAGGAATACAGCATCTAAATAACATAACTCCATATAAGGCATTCATAACTCCATATAAGGCATCCATAATTACATATAAAGATGACCTGTCCACATTATTCTATCAACATCTAGATAAAATCCATGTAATGTATGTATATGGACATTTCATTCAAACCATAAACAAGTGACCTGGTGGTCATTTCAGAGCAGAGCAAAGTCCTGCAATGCTATAAAATACTTTATTTTTGTTTTGAATTAATTTTCGCTATTTTCGCTGAAGGAATAATTCATTGAAAGTAAAATCCAGCAAATATACCTTTTTTTCTATATTTTACATTCAACTCGTCAAAAAGTCATAGTAAACACACAAAAAGTCTTTTCAGCGAAAATTAATTCCAGCTAAAATCAAGTATTTCACAGTAATATATGCATGCATAATTACATAAACAACATAGTAGAGAAACAAGTAACTTAGGCTTTGTTTACATTCTGTTTAAGTGTCTTATCACTGATAAAAAATATGTTAAATAATCGATTCATCAACTCAGGTCATAGGATTTTTGTCCCTATAATATCAAGAAATGAACTAATCTAACAGACATCCACCCAAGGTACACATGTACACCAAATATTAAATCAATCCAACAATCGGGGGTATGAGGTATCAAGAAGTCAATTAACAGTTTTGAACAAAAACGATAAAAATATTCCCAAAAATTACAGAATTGAAGATATCATCATGAAATGTTTAAATAAAATAACGGGACATGTACCAAGTATAAAAACAATAGAGTAAGTGGTTTTTAAGAAAAGTTGACGTGTCGGTAATATTAATAAAATAATCAAACTGAAATAATTTTTACAAGTTGTGATGTAGAGTTAGCATATGTACATGTAGTAGTCATGGTGATGGTGATGTCAAATTACCTGTAAGCTAGCCATGGATATACTAAGATTATATTAGAACGGGAGGGAGGGGATACACCTATGCATAATATTTTCATGATGCAGTGGGTCAACTATCCCAATGTGGGGTCAAATATCACGATGTGGGGTCAACCACCTCAATGTGGGGTCAACTATCCCAATGTGGGGTCAAATATCACGATGTGGGGTCAAATATCACGATGTGGGGTCAACCACCTCAATGTGGGGTCAAATATCCCAATGTGGGGTCAAATATCACGATGTGGGGCCAAATATCACGATGTGGGGTCAACTATCCCAATGTGGGGTCAAATAGCACGATGTGGGGTCAACTATCCCAATGTGGGGTCAACCACCTCAATGTGGGGTCAACTATCTCAATGTGGGGGTCAAACACCTCAATGTTGGGGTCAAACACCTCAATGTGGGGGTCAACCACCTCAATGTGGGGTCAACTATCCCAATGTGGGGTCAACCATCCAAATGTGGGGTCCACCATCTCAATGTGGGGTCACCCATCCCAATATGGGGTCAACAATTCCAATGTAGGGTAAACCATACGAATGTGGGTTCCACCATCCCAATGTGGGGTCAACCATCCCAATGTGGGGTCAACTATTCCAATGTGGGGTCAACCATCCAAATGTGGGGTCAACCATTCGAATGTGGGGTCAACCATCCCAATGCTGTGTCAACCATCCCAATGTGGGGTCAACCATCCCAATGTGGGGTCAACTATTCCAATGTGGGGTCCACCATCTCAATGTGGGGTCAACCATCCCAATATGGGGTCAACCATCCCAATGTAGGGTCAACCATACGAATGTGGGTTCCACCATCCCAATGTGGGGTCAACCATCCCAATGTGGGGTCAACCATACGAATGTGGGTTCCACCATCCCAATGCGGAGTCAACCATACCAATGTTGGGTCAACCATCCCAATGTGGGGTCAACCATCCCAATGTTGTGTCAACTATCCCAATGTGGGGTAAACCATTCCAATGTGAGGTCTACCATCCCAATGTGGGGTCAATCATCCCAATGTGGTGTCAACTATCCAAATGTGGGGTCAACCATTCCAATGTGGGGTCAACCATTCCAATGTGGGGTCAACCATTCCAATGTGGGGTCAACCATCCCAATGTGGGGTCAACCATCCCAATGTGGGGTCAACCATTCGAATGTGGAGTCAACCATCCAAATGTGGGGTCAACCATCTCAATGTGAGGTCAACCATCCCAATATGGGGTCAACCATCCCAATGTAGGGTCAACCATCCAAATGTGGGGTCAACCATTCCAATGTGGGGTCAACCATCCCAATATGGGGTCAACCATCCCAATGTGGGGTCAACCATTCAAATGTGGGGTCAACCATTCAAATGTGGGGTCAACCATCCCAATGTGGGGGTCAATCATCCAAATGTGGGGTCAACCATTCCAATGTAGGGTTAACCATCCCAATGTGTGGGAAGCAGCCCTGAAAATGCTACAAATCAACAAAGTTTAGTATCATTTTGCTAATGTGTTGTGCCCAGAGTTCCAATTAGTGAATGTTGACAGGAGAATGACACATCATTAGTATATAAAAAAATATATATATCTTAGTTGGGACACAAAACATGTACTTTGCATGTATATATAATTTTTGTAACAAAAATGAACATTTTTTCTTTTCATTTGCTCAGTTTAGTTTACATGAAGCATATTTTTGTCTTGCACAATAAGAGCTTTACTACATCCCTCTGAATCCATGTATTGATGCAACATCCACAGTGTCCTTAGCAACCATAATGTATGAACACTGTATGATACCAAATATGCTGTGTCATCTAGACTCCCTGTGATTCAAGTTCATTGTAATTTTCATCTCACACTTTTCAAACTGACACCTCATATTGTTTATTGTTTATAATTGAAA